AGTCCCTGGTTCATCCCTCTCCCTTCCCGCAGTGCTGGAGGACACGGTGGAGGAGCGCGTCATCAGCGAGGAGTACAAGATCTGGAAGAAAAACACCCCCTTCTTGTACGACCTGGTGATGACACACGCTCTGGAGTGGCCCAGCCTCACCGTGCAGTGGTTGCCTGATGTGACCAGGTGAGAAAAGGAAAGAGAGGTCTGCAAGGTGCCAGGGAGGCACGGGGATCAGCTGCTGATTTGCTTAGTTTGCAAAGCGGGAGCTGAGACTCTGTGCAATTGCTTGTTCCGCTGCTCTTTCTGTTAACCGTATAAAAACCACACAAGATAAGAATAATTTGGGTTAAACTCCTTTTTGAGCTTGTAACGCTTTATTTTGCTTGCGACTTTAGAAACATTTCGGGTATGCAGAAGCTTTGAGGGAAAATGTCACCAGCTGATACTTTACAGAACTCTGGCTTGGCTTAGCAGAAGATGTTGTGAGGTGTGAGGAGAGAAATCTTTCTTAATTTATTGATCTAACAGACACCTAATGCTCTTCTATAGTTGATTCTGATCAGAGAAATATATGTACTAAATTGGCTTTTTCTTGAAGACTGTTTTTCCTCACGTGTGCTGCAGAGTACTGTTCTGTAGAAGCTTTAGCATCTGTCCCTGATTTTGTTTTGGTTTAACTCTGGACTTACTTAAGAGGAGATTGTCCTAAGACTGGTGCTTCACATCCTGGTTCTGTCCCTGGCTCACTGTTGACATCACATACTTCAATTTTCCCATTCTTCCACCTCCCCCTGAAAATTGCGGGCTCGCTGGTTAATTTCTTAAAGGATTTTGAAGGTGGGGGCTCTGTCCATGTGCCAGCTACTATAGAACTTAAATTGTTGCAGTAAACAGTCAGGGCTCCATTGAGGTAGTGGACAAGGACTACGTCCATCATCTTGTTGTAAAGTAGCTAGGTTTTAAGATCTCTTGCGTGTAAAGTTCATACCATAATCAAAGGATGGTCTCTTTAAAATTCCACCTTACATATATGATGTTATACTTGGTGGTTAGACAATCACTTGCTTTTGTATACCAGAATGTTTGGGGAAGATGTTGAGAGATGTGAGCTAACTAGTTGTGGCACGGAAAAAATAAAGTGGGGATTTGAGGGTGTGGAGCCCTTATGAGGAACACTTCTGCTTGCCTCGTATTTTGCAGATTGACTTAATATTCAGTTTAAAACCTGGTATTTCCAATTATCCAGTGTCAAAATATGTAAGCCATTTAAGGCAAGGACTGTCTCTTTGTATGGCACCTGACATGATGGGACACCTGTTCCTGATGCAAGTAAGTATGTGTGCATTGCGTGTTTTTTGTTGTGTTTCGTATTTTGCTTTCCCCCTCAAAATGTATGATGATGCCTTGGAAGTGGCGTAGTAATACCTATGGTGGTTTATGATTGCCCAAATGATTCCTGTTTGCTTGGACTTAGATAGCATAATTAGTTTGTTGCTTTCAAGAGTGCAGAAGTTGCTTGTGTTTTGACTGTTCAAATTTTTCCTTTCAGAGATAAATGGCGCTGTCCATCCAGCCTTTCACTTGCTCCTAAATGTTGCATTTAACCACCAAAAGAGAAATCTGATTATAGTTAGCTAGGATTTGTGCAGTGTTTAAAAATGAGCTTCTGAAATAATGACTGGTAAAAGCTTCTAAGAGAAGTAACTAAAATAGATTGCCACTTGTCCTCGGTATTTGTGTTTTATAGCAGATAGTATTGATTGTTTTCTAAATTGATACTGTGCGACTGCTAGGGGAATTAAAGACAGAAGTAGGTATTAGTGTCACCTTTAACTACTTGTGCAAATTGTAATTGTCCCTTTCAAGCCATTGTGGCAATGTTTCCTGACTTGTATTGTCACTCTAGCCTTGCTGGTTGTATCTTTGGCTTGCTTGAAGTCTAGTTCACTTTATTGCACAAGCCTCTTGCGACAAAGCAAAGGATCTCTTCCATGAGTCTCTCTTTTCTAGCTCCCTGAAGAAGTTTGGATCTTGAGTGTTATTGATGCTAGCTATCAAACTTCTGGAACTGAGCACGTAATTTTATTCCATGCATTTATTATTCTAAACAGGCCAGAAGGAAAGGATTATGCTCTACACTGGCTGGTTTTGGGAACACACACGTCCGACGAACAGAACCACCTGGTTGTTGCAAGAGTCCAGATTCCCAATGATGATCAGTTTGATACTTCGCAATATGACAGTGAGAAAGGAGGTGGGCGTGCATGCATTCTTAGATTATGTTTTAGCAGTAGCATTACTAAGTGTTCTGTCTAAAGGTATTCTAACTTTCTGTTAAATACCAAAGCTGAGATAAGCTTACCAGTTCACGCTAATTCTAGATCATTAATTGTAACTAACAAGAACAAACGCCTTCTTTCAGAAAAAGTTAGGTAACATTGTGACATATGATCCCTACTAGCTTTTCTACCAGCTCTGTCTGTTGTGGTGAAAACTGATAACGCGTCTACCTCAAATAGAGACTAAAGCTCTGAAAGAGTTTGTATCATAGAGTACTCAAAATATCTAAAGTGTTCGTGCTGTTGTGTCACATGATGCTAGTCTTTGATAGGCTTTATTGTATTATGATAAGATGCTTACTGTTGTTTCTTGGAGTGGGGGTGGTGTCATGAGATGCTGTTTTCACCCATTTAAAATAGTTGATGTGATAAACTGACCCTTTTCTGACAAATGTAGAGTTTGGTGGCTTTGGATCTGTGACTGGCAAAATTGAAACAGAGATTAAAATTAACCATGAAGGTGAAGTAAACCGTGCTCGTTACATGCCACAGAATCCCTGCATCATTGCTACAAAAACACCGTCTGCTGATGTGTTGGTATTTGACTACACTAAACATCCTTCAAAACCAGGTGGGTCAGACTCCTTGAAGTTAAGCAAGATGCCTTCTGTTGTTGAGGGGTAAACTTGCATTAAGCTGTAATTGGGAGGAGAGGTGATGGGCTCTGGAATCCAAATAAGTGGCCCACATCTTTAGTGTCTTTAATTGCCTGGTTATGCTCAATATCATTAGAGAATCTTGATGGAAGCAGCATTCTCCTCAGAGACTGATGTATAAAATATGATTATTGCAATGGAAACAAAGCTCCTGAGTGATAATGATGTGCAAGGTGAAGCTAAATGGAAGAAATTTCCTCTCTTTCAGACCCAAGCGGAGAGTGTAATCCTGACCTTAGATTAAGAGGGCACCAGAAGGAAGGCTATGGCTTATCATGGAACTCAAATTTGAGTGGACATCTTCTCAGTGCATCAGATGATCATGTAAAACCCACATCTTTTCCCCTATGAAAAAAAACCCAACAAAACACAACCCCTCCTAATTTATGTTGTAATAGGTAATTAGAGAAAAACTGGGTTAGTGTAGCTGTATATTGTTAAGTGGGGAAGCCCTTGCATATCGTAATTATGTTTCTAAAGGCTGTCAGTTGACTTCAGGCTGTAAACAACAACCAGTTCTTTATAACGCTCTTGGTGAAGTAAGAACAGAATATTTTTCCAGCAGGCAACTGTAAGAAATTGCTGTATAACAACCCTTTAAATTGTCTTGGGTCTGAGACCATAAATTAGTAAGACTCTCAACAATCAATTGAGCTAAGAGCTTATAAAGTTCTTGTTGGGCTTTAAAAATGTGAATTGCTTTTGTGACCTTATAAATAATCCTTGGGTCTTGAATTTGCAGAAGACTGATTGGTAACTTAGCTCACTTCTCACAGATGGCATATTAAGCATTCCTTTTTCAAAACCAACTGTTTCAGGGGTGTCATCTCTGTTTACGTGTAGAATGTGATTATTTATTTGAAAGTTAATACAGTCAGAGTCTGTGTAACAATAGAACATGACTCTTTATTTACAGACTGTGTGCTTATGGGATATAAGTGCTGGACCAAAAGAAGGCAAAATTGTTGATGCAAAAGCAATCTTTACCGGGCACTCTGCAGTAGTAGAAGATGTGGCATGGCATCTGCTCCATGAATCACTGTTTGGATCTGTGGCCGATGATCAGAAGCTCATGATGTAAGTTGGGGTTAAGCAGTTTCTGGATAGTGCCTGCTACGTACTGTCAGTGGACCAGTCCTGAGCTCTCTGATAAAAAGTCTGAATTCTGGAATGATCTTGTGTAGCTCTTTAGTGCAATCAGCTATAGTAATGCTTCAGAATTGCAGAGATCTGCATGTCATTTAATGTGTCCACATCATTTGAAAAGAAGATGTAACTAATATGTGTGTCAGCTTCCTGGTGTGAACTGATTGTGTACAACAGACACAAAATGCTGAAGGGTTGTGGAATAAAAACTGTAGCTTCAGACTTAGCTTTAGCAATAATGTAGTCTCTTAAACTAATGGGTAATGTAGTGAAAAAGAACCTCCTGTGAAAACTTATATTTGTTCACTCTCGCTCTCTCCTCCCTGCTTCTTGCCCTCCCCTAAACCCTTCATTGCCACAGCTGGGACACAAGATCTAATACCACGTCCAAGCCAAGTCACTCTGTGGATGCTCATACAGCTGAGGTCAACTGTCTGTCCTTCAACCCTTACAGCGAGTTCATTCTAGCAACTGGTTCTGCTGACAAGGTTTTTACTTGTGTATACTTTAAATTCATAAGTATTCTAGATGGTGGTTCTACGGCCGTTATAGTAAAAACAATTTCTTGTTACTTCTCCCAGACGGTGGCTCTGTGGGACCTTCGAAACTTAAAATTGAAACTCCATTCTTTTGAGTCTCACAAAGATGAAATTTTTCAGGTGGGTAAACTTTTCTCACAAGCTGTAGAAAAAAACTAGAAGAGTACTGACTTGGACAAGAACATGCAGATTTTCGTATGGTGACCAACCACAATAAACATTAAATAGTGAATTAAACATTAAATAGTGAATTTTGGTTCAACAAACAAGACAGTAGCACGTAGTTTCTTTCGGCCTTTCCCCACTTGACTCTGAAGCAAGTAGCCAACAGCTTATTGCTAAAAAGATACTGGGAGTTTGCAAGTGCCTTCAGTACAGGTAGAAGTTTTCTCTAAAATGGCCTGCTGTAGAGAGAGAGGTTCAAATCTAATATTGTGAACTCTGTCTATTAGGTAGGGGCAAGTACTGGTGAACTTTAGACAATTATATTTCATGATACGGTAAATCTGTGACAGTGAAATAATGTTGGCTGTTCAATTTGAGAAAACTTAAAACTTTAAAGCGCTCTATTTGAGCTATAGGATACCCTTCGTGTTGGAAGACACTGATTGATTGAGTGTAGTTGTTGAAAATTAGTGGCCAGGTGCCACCAGGTGATGGTTATTCAGGATATGCTTTAGAAATCAGTAACTGCTCCAGTCACATTGTTTTCTTCCAACAGGTTCACTGGTCCCCTCATAATGAAACAATTCTTGCTTCAAGTGGTACTGATCGTCGGCTTAATGTATGGGACCTAAGGTGAAGAGCAATTCCTTTCTTTTAGTATGTATGAAGAGATGGTTTAAAAAAAAAAAAAGGCTGCAGGCCTACTTTATTTGGCAGACTTGATCTGTGCTCTTCTCTAGCCTGCCTTACTTGCTTCATTTGGACCTGGTCTTTTTGGGTGTACAGTAGAAGCAGCGCAGTACTTCTCTGTGAGGATTTCTTGCTGACAGAATTGTTTCATGTTGTCTTTAGTAAAAAGTGATTTCTGCTTCACAAGTTAGATTCTATTTCAGTAAGATAATGCCAAACAGTTGATGTTTTATAGCTGAGGCTTATAGTTAACTTGACAGTGAGAAAACCCAATAGCAAAAGCAAATACTGGAAACAAAGGCTAGGAACTGTTAAGTTAAGCTGATACAGGATGCAATTTTCATTATTAATAACAAGTATAAACTACTCTCTTACAGTAAAATTGGAGAAGAGCAGTCTGCGGAGGATGCAGAAGATGGGCCTCCTGAGCTGCTGGTAGGCTTTTGTTTGGGTTTCAGTCCCCTGACGTGCTGTATGGCAGCGTGGTGCCTTATGACTGCGCTACTAAAACTGCAGCAGTTCCTAAATCTTTTCATCTCCTTGGTTTTCAAGCCATTGCTCTAACTTGCAGCAGGCTTCCTCTGATCAGTCCTTATGGTAGTGATTTTTTTTTTTTTTTTCCCCAAAGCTGTCCTGGACATGATTTACACATCTCTGTTGTTGAACATGTTTACAGTTTGGCCATGTGCTTGTCGGTACTCTCTTGCAACTAAATGCAAGTAAAGCCAAGGCCTCAAATTGTGTATCTTGCATTAGACCAGTTAGGCCCCATATAGCTAACCTTACTGATGTAGAAAGTACAAAGGCTTACGTTTTGTTTTGTTTCTATAGGAAACAAACAATTAAAGGTGCTTATAGCTTGGTTTCCCCATTTCCTGTGCAACTATGTAAGTGCTTACATAATTAGATGAGGTGATGGATATTAAATATGGCTGTATTACCCAACCCAACCTTGTGCAAAGTATTTCGAGGACGCGGGTCAGTTGTTGCTATAACAATATGAACCGTTGTCTTAAATGCTGTCTCAGCAGTTGCGTCTGTGTCCGTAAGCAGTGAACGAACACGCTGTTTCACACACGCCTTCTTCCCGTCTGTATTGTGAATCTCTAGTAGCGAGTTTTTCTTCTTTGAGTAGTCATCAGCGTGGTGAATTTAACTTCTGCATCTTGGGCTTTAACAGATTTCTCTCTAGAGATGAAATGGCTTACTAAAGCTTGTGGGTTTTTTAACAGTTTATTCATGGAGGACACACTGCCAAAATCTCAGACTTCAGTTGGAATCCTAATGAGCCTTGGGTAATCTGTTCTGTGTCGGAGGACAACATCATGCAGATATGGCAAATGGTGAGTGTCACAACAGCTCTTGAGTTGCTCTGAAGCTTGGTGCATAAATGGAACTGAAATGGCTTGTTCTTCTTCAGGCAGCTTGTGCCTTTGACTGAAAGTAGGCTATCCCTTCCACCTCTTACGCTGTTCGGTTGGAGAGTAAGACTTCCGAAAGAAAAAGACTTGAGGAAACCTGAACAAGTGCAACTCCCAGCTAATTCTTGACTTCAGGGCTTAGGTACTAGTTAGTATCAAGAAGAAATGTGGCAGTTGCAAACTTATATCCAGTACTAACCAAGACTTACTCTTCCCCCCTCCTCCACCGCATGTTGGCTGTGAAGCAAGATGCCTTTTAACTCTCCGGTTAGCTCATGTTATTTTATATTACAGGAATTTGATCTTATAAATGTGGAATAAAGTCACTTGGGAATAATTTCAGTTAAAAACAATGTAACAGGCTTCAATGTGGGTCACAGGTCAGGCTTTTGGTTTTTTATACCTGTTCTTTAACCTGTTTTGTGTGTTCAGACCAAGGTTGAAGTAAGTCCCAAATAAAATGTTCATGGTAAGGCTAATGGTTAAATGACCATTGGTTAATGAGAAGAGAACAGCTGAAGCCCAGCCACTGCGTGCATGTTCCCAATGTGGCTGCCCTTTAAGAGAAGGTCCCTTTAAGGAGGGGGTGATGCCTATGCCTTCTTGGTATTATTGTGTTTTTTCTACATGAAGTGTAGAAGATTGTTTAAAAACAATTGTGTCTATCACTTATAATGCAATATTTTGTGTCTAGGCAGAAAACATTTACAATGATGAAGAACCAGATATAGCAGCGGCTGAACTGGAGGGTCAAGGAACATAACTTCTTCATGGAAGAAATACTGGGTGTGACATAGTAATATAATTTGACTACTGTATACATTTAAAAAAAAAAAGCCCCTAAAAAAAAATCAAACCAAAAAAAACCCCAAACAAGCACTGGGCAGAAGCATTACATCAAAATGAGAATATTCTTAATTAAGCATGAAAACTTTGTATAGCCAAGTTGCCATGGGAGTGGGATATGCTTTGAGCCGTTGTATACTGTACAGCAATTAGCTCCTAGGGAAAATAAGAACGACTTACTACCTATGTCTATATTTTTAAACAAACTTAGTCAGTTCCTGTAAATAAACAGTCAAATCCTCACTCTCCCCACACAGAAAGTGCGCAAAAAAAAAAAAGTTTTTATTAATATGTAAAAAGAGCTTTTCACTTTTACACAACACTTTTGGATTGGCTTTGCATAAATAAAATTTATTAAATAAAATGTTGGGTGTGTTTAATGTCCATTGAGATAAGGTGAATGCCTTTTTGCCTGAATATAATTTAAATTCTGCATGGTAAAAAAGATGCATAGTTCTCTTGTTTATAACTTAGAACCTGCAGTTAAAAGTCTGGGAGCATGAGTTGTCTTGATGCAAAAAACTTGGAATAGGTAACTTGGGCCCTTCACAAACAGGATGGATTTGGGGAATACATGGGGGGGGACCAGTCGGGCTCCTGTTACATTCAGGTATAAATCCTGAGCAGAGTCAAGTAGCTGTTGAGTTGGGCTTTGGTTTTGGGTGGGGTTTCTGGGGTTTGGGGTTTTTTTTTTTTTTTTTGTAGGGGTGGTGGAAGCACTGTCCTTTAACATTTTCCTGTCTCAGGTGCTAAGATGTCAGTGCACTCTCAGTGAATTGGTATCATTGCCTGCATTTGGTTAGAGCCCTCCTGTAGTGCTTTCGACTAAAACGATGGGAGGCAATCAGGCAGGTGTCTAAAAGTACCTGAACATCTGAACAAACACAAGACAAACAGATGGTTTGCTTCTAAACCTCTGGCTGACTGAAAAGCTGGAGAATTTGGACCATGTTAGAAGTAAAATACCTCTCTATTTGTCATGGTTCTAGAGGCAAGTTACAGATCGTAGGTTAGACTTGGGAAAAATTTCACAAAAATGGCTGTCAGGCACTGGAACGGGCTGCCCAGGGAAGTGGTGGAGTCCCCATCCCTAGAGGTGTTTAAAAGCTGGGCAGACGAGCTTAGGGACAGGGTTTAGTGGTGGGATGGCAGGGTTAGGTTAACAGTTGGACTTGGTGATCTTAAAGGTCTTTTCCAACCTAAACAATGCTATGATTCGATGATCACCTTGGGAGCTGCCAGTCAGACACATCTAAGTGGGTGTCTAACTTGAGTTTAAAGTTTTTTAGTTGCTTAAGACAGGTCTCAATTACACCTTGGGAGCTGCCAGTCGGACACGTCTAAGTGGGTGTCTAACTTGAGTTTAAATTAAGTTTTTTAGTTGCTTAAGACAGGTCTCAATTAGACGATTGTCAGCTGTCCCGATCTTTCTGCTCAAAGTGAAGAAAATCAGGACTTTGGTGACTGATACTGAAAATATGATTTTTTTTTTTTTTTTTATGTTGAAAACATTACTTCCCTTGGTGTGTGCCTTGCTCTCATCTTTACGTGAATTTTAACAAGTCAGTAGGCTGCTGGGCCCAAGCTGTCTCTCTGACGGTAGCTGTGCTGCGTCTGGCTGGGGTGGAGTTCGCTTCAGTCCGAGAAGGGGCACGGGTGCTGTGGTTTGGATTTACTGCCAGAAGGGCATTGATAACAACGCACCCGTGCTTTGGCCACCCCTGGGTGGCACTTGCAGGGCACACTGCACCGGCAGGGAGGGGGCACAGCCTGGACAGCTGACCCAGATTGCCCAAAGGGGAATATTCCTTACTGCGCATCATGCTCCACCATAAAAAATGAGGTGGAGGAAGGAAAAGGGGGCCTGCGGTGGTGGCTGTTGCTTGGAGGTTGGCAGGGCACGGGCCTGCTTCCAGGAGGTGGTGAGTGATTTCGCACTCCTTTCCCTGCATCCCCCCGCCCTTCTCTCACCCGCCTGCCAAACTGCCTTCCACCTCCACCCACAAGGTTTTCTTCCTGCTCTCCCCCCCCCATCTTGCTGGGAGGAGGCGTGAGGGAGCAGCTGTGCGGGTGTGTGGCTGCTGCCCAGGGTCAACCCTGGGCTCCGCGCTCCGGAGCGGAAAGCTGCTGCCTGAGGCATTGCCATTTTTTAGGGGTGGGAGTTGGATGAATGAGAGTTTTGATGTAGGTCTTTCCGTGCTCTGTGTGGGAATCCGGTAGCCCTCCATACGGTCACATCCCATTCTTAAAAGCGCTGGTACTCTGGAGCGGGGCGGGGACAAACACAGGATGGTTTTGGGAAGGGAGCGGGCTCACCTCCATGAGACTGGCACCGTGTACCGACGCTGTGGTACTGATGTAGCCTTCGGCCAAAGCCAGCCCTTTCCAGGACCGAGGTGGCGGTTGTTGGCCAGAACTTGACTCTGGATGTCTGCGTTTCAGCACATTGTTCCCCAGGAAGGAGCGCACCTGCCTGACACCGAGGGGACCGGCTTCCTTCCAGCATGTCCCCTGCAGCAGGTTATCCCCGTGCTGGTGCTGTGACGGCATGGCAGTGGGGCTGTGGAGCGAAGGTATTGCTGATTGCCCTCTTCGCCATTTGGCTACGGGTCAGTCAGCTGGAAGAGTCAACACCCGTCAACGCAGTCTTGGTACGCGTAAGCAGGCCCGCAGTTGGCTCTTCCTTGCCTCGCAAGGGCGGGCTCCACAGTGCTATCTAAGGGGGACTTGAGATGCTCTGGATGATATGGTTTAATTTGCAAGTAGCAGCAAATGATAAGCATCAAGCATGCTGAACTTGGGGACAGGTTTTGGTCAGGTCCTACTTCCTTTTGGCATTCATTTCGGCTTACACAGCTCTCGAGAAGTAGTCAGGCCGTCAACCTCTTAATTTCCTGATTGTTACTGGGGGAAAAAAAAAAAAAGCGCTTCCCAGTGAGCGGGGTGGTGGCTCTCCCTGGCACAGGTTGGGCTGTGGGCTGTGACCCCTCCTCCTGCTGCTCTTCAGCACTTACTCGAAGGCAACCCTGCTGGCTGCTTTGCACTGGCCTGTCCGGTGGTGTTCACACCTATAATTGGTGATTTCAGCTTTGTATCTCCCTTAGGGTTGGGCTGTTAATACTCAACTCTAGTTACTGCCTCGCTAACTAGATAGATTGGGAGGGAGGGGCGAACTAATTGCCGTGCTGTCCTCATTGCTCTTCTTACGCTGCTTGTTTTTTAATCCCCTGTCTGTTGTTAGCAGGAGCCCCTCCACATTGTAGGCATAGATATGTCTCCTTCCCCGCCTTTTTTCCAGAATGGTTCCTCGGAAAGAAGTGCTGCAGGTAGGTGCAAAAGTACTTGAATATTCCCGTGGAAGGCTGAGCTGCTGTCAGCGTGTAGCAGGCAGGCAGCGGCTGGAGAGGATGTGCTGAACAGCATGAAGGGTCAGAGCTGCTGAAGGACAGCTAGGCCACTACCCAATTAGCCACGCTCCCGTCTAGCTGCTGTGCGTGGGTGTAAAAAAAAAACAAACCAAAACACCCACACCAAAATGCCACATCTAGGACATGAAGGTGAACTTGTTCTCTAAGCATGGTTTTAGTTTGACTAACAGATACAAGGAGGGGGGCGGGTCCTGCTCCTGAAGAGAGCGATCTGGCCTGAGACAGCCAATGCAGCTGCCATGCTAGCAGTTTCTGTCCCCAGCTGTCCAACTTGCTAACTGGCCCCAGAAACATCTCGCCCCCGCTCCCCCGGAAGCTGGTGACTCAGGGATAGAGGCCCTCATGATAGACTGGCCCTGTAACTTTTACTTCAGCTTCTCTGAATTCATTCCTGTTCGGAACAGGGTCTCCCACAGAAGGCAGAATGCCTGCCGAAGCACTGACCTGTCTGGCAAGACCCACATTGCCACTCGTTCACTCATAAAACCCTGAAGCCATTCTGGGTTTTTAATGACCTTGGTTTGCATCCCAGTTAACTGGATAAAGTTAAATTGTTGCAAAAGCACACCTATTTGATTATGCCCTTACCCACACTAGTTCCTCACATGCCACAGGTGCCCCTCAGTTCAAGAAGGACACTGAGGCGCTGGAGTGTGTCCAGAGGAGAGCAACCAAGCTGATTGAGGGGTGTGGAGCACAAGTCTTATTGAGGAAGGGCTGAGGAAACTGGGATTGTTTAGCCTGGAGAAAAGGAGGTTGATGGAAGACATTATGGCTCTCTACCTGAAAGAAGGCTGTAGTGAGGTGGGTGTTGATCTCTTGTCCCAAGTAACAAGAAACAGGACAAGAGGAAATGGCCTCAAGTATGAAAAATTTCTTTACTGAAAGAGCGGCCAAGCACTGGAACGAGCTGCCCAGAGAAGCGGTTGAGTCCCCATCCCTGGACGTATTCTAAAAATGGGACATGCTTTAGTGGGCAGGGTGGTGTTGGGTTGACAGTTGGACTTTATGACCTTGGAGGTCTTTTCCAACCTTAATGATTCTATACTTTATTATTACTGGTGTGCATGCTGTACTTCAGCACTGAACTGGCAGAACGAAGGGCACTTACTGCACTTTGTAGCTGTGTAAACTCTCCACAGAGAACTACTCGGTCAACACCTAGTTTGACCTTTTGCTTTCCAGTTGCTATAAAGCCTAAGGTGGTAGATAACTCTTAAGTCTCTCAAAGCCAGTTTCCGTCCTGTGAATTGGTACTTCAGATAAGCGACTTGCAAATCCAAATGTGTATGCGTTTGCATGTTATGGATGGCCAAACATGCATAACAAACAGTGACCTGGTGTTTCAGAGTTGTGTAACTACTCTTCCCCTTCAAAAGGACACGATTTTTGCTTTAAACATCAGGCCTGCGTAAAAAACGTGTGCCAGAGAAAAGGGTCAGGAGAAGAGTCAGTACCGTAACCTTCTGGCAGGAAACAGCAGAAGTGCAGTCAAAGCCAGCATAAGTTTTGAACTGGTGACGTGACAGAGATCAAATGGTTTTATATGAACACTGTTGATG